CCCCAAAACCCCAAAACCCCAAAACCCCAAAACCCCGTATTTTAAAATATAATTTGAATTCTTAATATGAAAACTGTCAAGGTATGCTCTCTTTTCTTCATAAAAATGACCTAATACTAACCAATTTATGCTATAGAGTAATTGGCCTCTGAATGAATACAAAAATACAAAAACCCCATTGTTTTCAAACCACGGATCCTTGTCGTCAAATATTATTGGGAAATATAAAGGAGAAAAGAAGGTTGCTTCCTTAAGCAAAGGAAGGATTAAGAGTAAAAGCAGGTTGCCTGCTTGTGATAAATCTCCAAAAGCACAGAAATTTGCGGTAAATTTGAAAATTTAGCAGTTTATAATAATGCTGGTATAGAATCGATGAGTCATGTACAATCAGAGTAAAGAAAATTCAAAGTCTTTTGTTAGAGCTAAAACGCCAAACTTAGGCTATGTTGATGATATGGTGAGCAGAAATAGCTTTTCTAAACCTGAGAGACCTCAGAGAATTCCAAGAGATCGCAAATCTATCAGAAACAAGCAGAAAGAGATTGATAGTAATCATGATTCAGAGAAATTAGCAAGTCCTAAGAAGAGATCTGGCAAGAAAGCATTTAAAATTTCTCGATCACCTCACCACCCAAGCTCAGGGAAAAAGGTGCACAGCCCTTTCTTCAATAACAGTGATGAGAAGAAATCAAAGAAGGTTAAAATACACCAACCTAAGTTTGAACATGATTCTGAGATGGAAGAAGAGCCTCGAACTCATGTTCATTTCCATGAACCAGACAAAGAGAATGTCGACCACAATCTCACACTTGGTAGAATCAAGGGTAATAATTTCTCGAATAATCTATAGATTATCAGGATGAATTGGAGAAAGCCAAAAAGACAAAGTTTGAACTCAAAGACACTATATAAAGAAGCTGATGGAGAGTCATCTCGCTGAGAAGAAAAGGATGGTCGAAAACTTTGAAAAAGAAACTGAAAATTACTTCAAATACTACCAGTTCTACCACGACAACGAACAGAAGCTTAAACAGATGACTGAAGATACTACAAGCTTGATGGCTGAGAAGAAGGAGATGGAAGACAAGATACATAAACTTCAGGTTGAAGTAATCAAGGCTAAAGCTGTGAAGGAAGAGACTAAATCAACTTGAAAATGAGAAGAGTATGGTCGCTTTTGAAATAGGCTCAAAGCTAAGTTCATGGACTCCCTTCATGAGATCATGCGTAATGATAAATCTGACCAGCTCAAGATTGCTAATTGTCAAAGAGTAGTTGTGAATACTTTAAATGAAGTAAAGTCTTTCCTTGAAGGGGGAGATTATGAGCAGAGTAAGCCACAAGGTCATGAATCAGTCGCTATACCTGAGATTAAGACTTACAGCACTGACAATGATGACGAATTAATTCGAACAGTAGAAGAAGCTTTGTTGATTGTCAGAAATGATAGTTGTAAGAAGACTCATTTTAAATCTCAGAGGTCATTAAGTTCTTTGGGGATAAACAAATCCCCTGAGCCTCATAATTCACATAAAGGACGCTCTCCAGAATTTATGAATAATGCTAAATCAAATAATAATTTGTACGAATCACAACTTCGAAGAAGTGCTAATGAAATAAAGGAAACTTCTTTTCAAGATGGCATTAACGAGAGTTTCGGAAAAGCTCAACCTGAAAGCACTAAGAACCAAGAAATCAAATACACAGTTGAATTTCTCGGTAAAAGCCACTGAGATGAAAGCCAAGAATCTGAGGAAGCAGAATCTGAGATAGAATCTTATGAAGACTATAAAGGCATCTCAATAGATCAAACCTCTGACGATGATACACTGGTAGATAACGTAATTAATAAAATCACGACTGTTGGCAACAAAGGGAGAACAAACGAGAGATATAAACAAGAGACTGGAATGAATGATTTTGAATTCACGAATGAAAATATCTTCACAAAGAGTAATGATCTGTTCTGACCAATTTCAAGCCGGGATTCTACCTTGGATAAGATCGAAACTGAGAGCCAACAGCAGAGTAGATTCAATCTTCCTTTACAAGTTGAAAACAAGGTAAGAGGCTATTTATATCAAAAAGAAACTTTCTAACATTTCCAAATATAGAAGAAGCTTAATGATGATATTGAACTCGCAGTCTGTCTATTTGATTTTAAACCCCAAAAGAAAACAGATCTAGGCTTTAAAGCAGGGGAAAGAATCAAAATCGTTAAAAGAAAAGAGCATGCAAATTGGTGGTTCGGGTCAATCGGCTCAAGAGAAGGGTATTTTCCTAAAAACTATGTCAAACTTAAGAAAATACCTAAGTAAACACATAACCTAAATCTCCAATAAACTAAACTTCCAAGGGGTTTTGGGGTTTTGGGGTTTTGGGGTTTTGGGGTTTTGGGG